CGAACTCGTCGGGGTCGGCCAGGCCGGGGCGGCCGGCGCGGAGCTTCTCGAAGAGCCCCTGCGGGCGTGCGGGCGCGCACTGCGGGTCCCACTGGTAGCCCTGCTGGTAGAGCTGGTCGCGGTGGAAGTGGCTGGTCTGGAAGCGGAGGTCTTCGCCGTGGCTCAGGAACGTCTGCCGGGACACCTGCCGCGCGAAGTTCTCCACCGCGCCCGCGCCGTCGGCGAAGCTGTGCCGCTTGAAGGCGTCCACCTCCAGGTGCCGGGCCTGGAAGAAGCCGCGCGCGCCCGGCTCCGCGCCCGGCCCCGCGTCCACGTCCAGCCGCCGCGGGAGCCGCAGCCCCGCCAGCCCCGCGTGCGGCTCCTCACGGCGGAAGGCAGACAGGAAGTGGCGGTCGGGGTCCAGGAAGGAGGGAAAGCCCAGGCCCTCGTCCCGGGGCGGCGGGAACAGGAGGTGCGCGCGCTTGGGGAAGGAGAAGGGCGCTGGCGCCCCGAACCCGGGGACGCCCGCCAGGGGCCCGGCCCCCGCGTACGGTGCGACCGCCATGGCGTCCATGCGGGCCAGCGCCCCGGCCGACGGCACCAGCGGCTCCGACTGCGCGAAGAGAATGCGGAACTCCTCGTCGAAGCTGGCGACCAGCTCGCCCTGGAACACGTGCGCCAGGCTGCGGTGGATCTTCTCGAAAGACCACATGAAGCTGTGGGAGGTGCAGGCCGGGGTCAGGGGAGGCATGCGGCTGCCAGGGCCCGCGGGTGGCCGGGGAAGCAGGGGCTCTGGGCTGGGGGGGGGCGCCATCCAGGGAGGGGGACTGTTGGAGAGGGCCGGCCAGGCTTGGGGACTGCCAGCCGTGCAGACCTGTAGCTGCCGCTCATCACAACGGCGCAGTCCACGAGCAGAAACTTCTCCTTCACATGGCCCTTGAAGGACTTCCCTGTGCGGCAGTAGTAGGTTGGGCCTGCCACAGTGCGGACACGCAGGAACTGAGGAGGAGTAGGGTCAGTCAGGCCCAGGCCCAGGCCGCCCCGCCCCCCACCCCTCCTGGCCACTCACATCCACATGGTGCAGATTGACACGACACTTGTCCGCCATGTCCAGGAAATGCTGCGCGTTCATCTCATCCAGCAGAATGTAGACTGGAACCCTGCGGGCTGCCGCCTCCAGCATTTCGTTGAGCAAATCCACATCGGTGAACATGTCCATCACCACAGCTACCACCTGGGGGCGGTGCCGGGTCAGGAGGGTGGGCTGATTGCCTGCTTTCCCACCCAGACCCCTACCAGAGGGCTTCTGCAGATGTGCCTGGCATGGGTCCCAGGACACAGCAGCCAACAGAAGGGAGCCCCAAGGTGCAGCCGCTCTGCCCTTGCGCAGAGGGGTCCACTGGCCAGGCCTGCAGGGTTTTTTTTTTTTTTTTCTGGTCGTCGGGCTTGAACTCTGGGCCTGGGTGCTGTCCCTCAGCTCTTCAGCTCAAGGCGTGCACTCTACCACTTGAGCCACAGAGCCTTCTGGCTTTCTAGTGGTTTACTGGAGATAAGAGTCTCACAGACTTTCCTGCCCGGGCTGGCTTTGAACTGTGAGCCTCAGATCCCAGCTTCCTGAGTAGCTAGGATTACAGGCATGAGCCATGGCACCTGGCTGACTGCAGATATTTCTCTGCACAACTATCCCAGGCTAGCAGGGGCCACACACCCTGTGGACACCAGCCATACACACATGGCACCTACAGCCTGTACTAACTGGACCTTTGGTGAACTTCTGACAGACATCTGGCCTGTAGATCCCGCCCCCCCCCAACTCCCTCCACCTCATGAGTTTCTCCTCCCTGGCCAGTAGCCCCCTCCCCCCTGCCCCCCCCCCACCTCATGAGTTTCTCCTTCTCCCTGTTTCTCCCCCTGGTCTTCCAGGCTGGCTTAGGTAGCCCTCTCCACTGCCCACCAAGCCCGTGAGGAGCACCTGCTGGGCAGAGCGGATCATCCTCCGCGCCTCGTCCTTGATGCTGGGGCTGTCCGGGGGTGGAGGCTGCACCAGAGTGGTGACCTCGGTCCCCTGGAAGCCGAAGGTCAGAGGCCAGCCCAGGTCAAGCTCAGGCACAGCCTGGTCCGAGTTTACTGGCCAGTAAGTGCCGGAGGAGCCATCCATGTCCACGTCGGGGGGGCTGCCCTCAGGGGGCTCACGGGCAACATGCTGCGGGGGCTGCAGGTGGCGGCTCACGTGCTCCAGCTCCTCTGGGCACAGGAAGTCAGGTGCCCCCTCGGCTGCCAAGAAGCGGCTGTAGGCTTCTGGCCCCCCCTCGGCGAGCGCGTCCACAGCCAGGCGGTAGTACTCTCTGTAGTGAGGTGGCAGGTACCCAGGTGCCAACGGGTTATCCCCCTGCGAGGAGCACTGCGAGCGACGGGCCATGTTGGGGCCGGGGGCCTGGAGGCGCAGGGAGACACATTACTGGGCGGGGCAGCAGCCCCCTCTTCCTCCCCTCCTGTGGGCACCGCGCAGGAGGACCGTCAGGGCCCTTGGGAGGACTGGCATTCTACCCTTGTCTTCAGGGTTCCAGGGCCTGGGCGATGCCAGGTGGGTCACAGGTAACCAGCCCTGTCCTCAGCCTCTCTAGCTGGGACTTCACCCTAGTCAGAACTCAAGGGTTGGCGGCACCTCCCGCCCCCCCCCCCCCCCCGTGGGACAGTGGCTCCAGTCTCAAGCCCTCTCCTCTCTTTCAGGATTTTAACTCACACTCTGGCTTTGGGAATCCCTTTTTCTATAAGAAGATATTTTATTCGTTGTTATTTGGGCTTAAAGACAAACGTAATGCAGACTCATCCTTTTGAGTTCTGTGACACTGCCACTCCTGGGGACACCTGGCCTCCAGTGAGTGAAGCACAGAGGGCAGGGACTGACTCCTGTGGGGATGGTGTTCATAAGACCCACCCACATAACCTAGCCACACCCCCTTCCCATGCACAGGCTGTAGCCCTAGACCCCCCAGTCCAGGCCCAGCCCTCTGATCACTACGGTTTGTCCCTGCCAGTCAGCTCCTCTGCCTTTCCCCTCACCCACTCATCTTGCCACAGTCCATCATAGCTAAAGCCTCTCAGGGCGACAGCCTCACCATGCCGGCCTCTCGGCAAAGCTGGCACTAAATATCTCCCACGACTACAAGAACCTTCCAAGCCTGAGCTAACCCCTCACTTGCCACCAGCGGCACTGAGGATGAGGTCAGAGGCTGTACCAGCAGCCCATGCTCCAATGGGCCTTCCAGAGCCATCAGGCACAATCACTGAACACCTGAGCCCTGCCAGCCTCCATGGTGGACGCAGCACTGGGGATGGCTTCTCAGGTGTAGGAGGTGGGGAGCCTCCTGCCTTATGTAGCACACAGGTTCCCAGACGTGGCTCTGCTGAGGGGACCTAAGAGACCTGAGACTCCCTCGGCTGACAGATGACACGGGCCCAGTGGAAGGAGACCCCTGCCTCATGTGGAGGGTTGAGGCCTGCTGCGTATGACCCAGAGAACCATGCTGATTTGGTGGAAGGGAGCAGGCAAAGGGTAGCTGCAGCGCCAAGGTGCACCTGCTCCAGCATGTGAGGACAGCCACCCGGCTGCCTACCGGGGCTGCCAGACGGGCTCCATGAACAGGGTCAGCCACGCGCTCAAACTTGCGCAGTATGGGACAGTGTCAACAGGTATTGGGGCACTTCCGGGTGTGGGGAACACGCACCGGAAGGGACTCTGCCCTCCGATCTCTGGGGAGGTGGGGTGTAGGTGAAGAGCATGTGGCCCCGTAGACGGGGCTTCCCAGACCCTGCTGCGCCCCCACAACGCTCAGTGGCTTCCCGGCACCCTCGGGCACAGGGGAGGACCTGCCGGCCTGTCCCCCCTCGCCCCCCGCCCCGGGGTCCATCCCACCCAGACCTGTGACTCAGCAGGAGGCCGGCACCTCCGACCTGGAGCCTGCGGGCCTCCGGGACCCCGTCCCTCCGGCCCGCAGGAACCGGGGCTCCTGGCGCAGGCCCACCTCAGGGCCTGGGGCTTCGGGACCCAGAGAGTGGATGTGGCCCGGTCTGGGGCGGGCGGCAGGGCGCAGGGGCGT